AACCACGGGGACCATCTGTGGGGTTTTTTTAAAATTAGGGACTAAACTTCAGATTTCCGAAAACCACAGTGACAATTTTTGAAGTTTTGTCCTTATTTTTGGATAAAATTACAAAAATGGTCCTTATGGTTTACTAAAAGTCACAAACTCAGTCTCTGTTAATTTTTTTTATGTGCCTCCTCCATATTTGCGTCGGAAATGCCTTAACCAACTGAACTGAACACTTCCTTGTTTTTATTTCCTAAACCTTTCTTATATAGTAAGAAAATCATTAAAACATAAATAATAATAATAATTCGAAAACCTATTTTTACATGAAACTTTTTTTAAATAAAACAAATATACTTTTTTCGTATTATAAAAAAAATTTATACAAATAATTTTTATGTTTTTTTATGTAAATATGTTTTTTTATGTATTTAAAAAATATATTTTCATATAATATGTTATTACGTTGTATAGTATTGACATGCAAAATCGATCGAATTGTTTTTAAAATTAAAATATATCGCATTAATTTTGGAACAACCACATTTTTCTTAAATATTTCTTTACATATATTTGACAATAGTAATTTGGTCATTGTTCCGTTGGTATAAATAACATTATATTTTTTATTTTTTATAAACATAAACAAGATCTCATAAATTCCGGCAAAAAAAACAAGTTATGTTTTTTTTAATACATATTTTTTAAACCGAAAAACGGTTTTTAGAAAATTGATTGGACCAATACAAAAACTTATTCGACCGATTTTGCATTCTTATACAACGTAATAACATATTATATGAAAACGTATTTTTTAAATGCATAAAAAACATATTTACATAAAAAAACATAAAAATTATTTGTATAAATTTATTTTTTTATAATACGCTCAAAAATATATTTGTTTTATTTAAAAAAAAGTTTCATGTAAAAATAGGTTTTTGTATTTTTATTATTATTTATATTTTAATGAATTTATTACTATATAAACTAGGTGTGAGACCCGTGTACTACACGGGTTTCTTAAAAAAAATATATCAAGTTGTAAACTTTAAGCAATTTTTAGTGTAATAATTTTATATTAATACAAACACTATAATGTAGTTTTTAGAGTAGGGTCAAAACAATCAAATTTGTTGCAACATTTATATTTTATTACAACACATATACAAATATCAAAACTTTGTACTTTTAATTTGATGTGTAATATAACATCATACATTTGTATTATATTGGAAGAAAAAGAAAGATAATTTTTTATAAAAATAGTTTTGAAAGTACAATGTTATTTATAACATACTTATGAATTTATTTTTATTTGTTATTTTACATTTATTATGTAAAATATATAGTAATTCAAGATAAATCAGTTACACACAACAAAAATACTTTCTTATAGGGATTTTAAACCTAAAAATATTAAAAATAAACAATCAAATATTACTCTAATAGGGATTTTAAACCTAAAAATATTAAAAATAAACAATGAAATATTACATTAGTTTGTAAAATGAGTATAATAATAACAAAGAGAAATAGCAAAGTATTTGTTAAATACCTTGGAACAACATAAACAACTTTATCTTTGCAAATTGAGGAGGTACATACAAACAGTTGGTTTGTTCCATTGTTTTGCTCAATATTTATAACGATTTGTTCATCAACATTCTTACGACTCAACTTACGTCCCAAATAATACCAAGAAAAATCGGTGCACAAACGCTTAATAGTACCAAGCACAATTACTCGGCCTCCCTGTTAAAAGTTGAAGTTGTTTTACTATGCATTTAAGTGTGATTAGGTAAAACTAAAAAATATATTTAAATATAGCTTTGTGATTTCTTAGATTTTGCTAATAGGTTTGAAGTCATGTTTCAAAAAAACTTTATCGCTCTCAGAATACAACATGGACGATGAACCTTTGCTACGATTATCAAACGGATCTTCAAATGCATTTTTTAGAAATCAACCTGTTCATGAATAAAGTGTAATTTTTGTTATGTAAAAATGCATAAAAGCAATAAAATATTAAGAAAAAAGATTGAAGATATCTAACGTTTTCTTGAATGTAAGGTTTTCTTCTATGTTAGCATTGATGAAAAACTTGGTAACAAAGTACCAATTTGAAACAGAGAAACGATGCTGCAAAAAAAATACACATAAATACACACTTTGGTTAAATATATCTCTATAATGAGAATCAAATGTAAGTAGGATGCTACAATTTTGGAAATTATTTTTTGTAAGGGAATGTTTGTGGAATTTATTAATAGCATTAACATTTATGTATTTTTTTTACAATACACACACAGGAAAACAATGTACTTTTGTTTTGGGAAAAATGTTAAAAAAATTATTTTTAAAAAGTTCAATACTATTTTATTATTTTTTGTTAAGTTTTATTGTTGGTTTATATATTTTTAAAAAAAATATGTAGATAATCATATTTAAGGAAAGTACATGCTAGTTTCTGGAAAATGTTGAAGTTTTTTTTTTTTTGTATTTTTTTTTGTTTTTCTGGAAAAAATGGAAGAAATATGGGTTACATTAGTTTTATACATTTTCAGATCTGGTGATTTACTAACAGTATGATCGTTATCAGATGTCAACAGTTTTCCCGATATCTTTCAAGAAAAAACAAACCTAGATCTTATTAACCAAACAACATATATAATTTATTCAATTTGATCAAAAGGTGAAACAATTTCGTGTTATAGGATGAAGCAAAAGCAGTGGGGCAACTTAGGAGTCAAAGATTAGCCAATTTATTGGGATGTTGCTGTGAAGGAAATGAGAGATTCCTAGTGGCAGAGTTCATGCCTCATGAAACTTTATCCAAACATCTTTTTCATTGTGAGACTTTATTAAAATTTCAAACTTTAATCAATTCTTTATACACAAAATAATAATATAAAATCTCAATTCAGGAGAAAATAATAATATTCTCTGAAGCAATTTATATACAGTGCAATATATGGCATATTAGCAAAGTAGAAGTAAACTTGTATTTGTAGTTATGTATAAGAAGAAAGTATGCTACTATTAAGGGATAAAAATGCAGAAAAAAATTGTTAAAAAATTAAATAATCAATTTTTTTTTTTTTTTGCTTCGTGATGTTTTACTCTTTGGAACACAGAGTTTACTGTGGCCATGAATAAGGTTGACAGATTATACGGGTGGAAACAAAAAATAAGTTGAGTGTAGTTGTTGTGTCGTCGGAATGTGAAATCAGGAGTTCAACTTCAAAAGAAAGAAATCGGCTAACTGTGATGGACGGATATTTTTTATCGATTGGAGTTCATTCAAAAATTGGACTGAGTAAATATATGGTAAAATGAAATACCATATTGTATACTATCATATTCACAGATTTAAATGACCAATTTTGCCCCTGTTTACTATCATATTCATATATTCAAATGACTACAGTAGAAAAGATAAATAGCATCAGTTGACATCAACAATTTATAATCACTCAACCAACAGGAGGGCTGCATTAGCAGGGTTAAGGGATATCAGGTAAAGAAAATCAAGTTAAATACACGTACATACATAAGTGAAGAACCATTGGGCTTCAAAAATTTGATATTTTTCCTACAACATATTTGTTGCATTCATTAAACAGGTTGAAAGAAATAGGGAAGGACATCCACATAGGGTTAATAACATACATACACATAAGGGTTTAAAATTTCATTTAGATTGAAGAGTAATTTCACAGATACACATACACATGAATCGAAGAAAATAAAATTCATCAAGCAAACTGAAAAAAAAAAACTGCAGAATACAAATTCAAAATCCAAAACACATAATAAAGCACAGAACAACACACACGACCATAAAAGGTCTTGAGGATCGAACATACACAACCATAGAAACCGAACTGATTTAAACATCAAATAAACACATCTATAAAAACTGACTTAGGGACACACATACAATCAATATTATAGCAATGATGTTTGATAGTACTTACCTGAAATTTTTTTTGTTTTTAATGCAAAAAGTAGATGATAGTTAGGCCAAATATAGAAACACGGTGAATGTGAAATCAGGAGTTCAACTTGAAAAGAAAGAAATCGGCTATTTGTGATGGAGGAGTACTGTTTATCATCAATTGGAGTTCAGAGCTTCCTATCAATAAAAAACTGGCACTATCAATCAAAAACTGTCGTGAGTAAATATATGGTAAAATGAAATACCATATTGTATACATTACATAAATTAGGAACGGATTCTGTGAATTTAGGGTCAATGTAATGAAGTTTTGATGACATACGTTATTTGAGCAAAATACACGGCAAGATACCATATATGTGGCTTTTATTTTGGGATTATTAATGGAATGAAAACAAAACATTAATGAAATTATTAAATTAAATTAATCTACAAATAAATTACAAAATGACATGTGGCTTTTATTTAAATCAAAATTACCAAAAATTACATGTGGCATAGTGAAGGAGGAAGTGACATATGACAAAAAAAGATTTTCATTTATTATGATAGATCAAGTTTAAGAAATAAATGGCAAGAAATTGTTGTGGTGAGTTCGACCCCTACCCCCTTTAGTTTTGAACTTTCAAGGCAAATAACAAAAATGGTCCCTATGGTTTTTTAGATGTAACGAATTCAGCCCCTCCTATACTTGAAAAGACTAAAATACCCCCATATGGGAGGAACTAAAGGCAGAATTTTGACGGAGTTATTAAAAAGGGTCATCTGTGCAAGTTTTGCAAACCATAAGGACCATTTGCATCAAAAAAAAATTAACAGGGACTGAGTTTGTGACTTTTAGTAAACTACAAGGACCATTTTTGTAATTTTGTCTAATTTTTGCCTTCAAACATTAAAGGAACAAGGTACACGTGGCAATCGTTTATCGGAGGAGCTCTATACAGGACCACCCTTTAAAGTAAAAGCTGAATCCTGGCCGACAGATACTTCATCCACGTAAAATCATGTTATAAGTACACACATAAATCAAATCAGTCGTTTAACTTGTTTGCGCACACACACTCCATACCAGTACACATAACATTATTAGCTACCACTTATTCACTTCCTCCTTTATATCTCATTTCCCACATACTTTTCATCTCACAATTATTTCAATTCCCATCATCACTCTGACACACCTCTCCCCTAACTCACTTCCACAAATGGGACAAAAGAAGTTCAGAGGAGTTCGTCAACGCCACTGGGGTTCCTGGGTTTCCGAAATACGTCACCCTTTACTGTATGTACTCTTTCACAATCTATTAATTACTGTTTTACCATTGATTTTCAATATTAATTTACCCTCTTTCTGTATGTGTAGGAAGAGAAGGGTGTGGCTAGGGACATTTGAAACAGCAGAAGAAGCGGCGAGGGCGTACGACGAGGCTGCCATTCTGATGAGCGGCCGGAATGCCAAAACTAATTTTCCGATCGTCAAAACGGAGTCATGTAATAAAACCGACGGTGGGTCACTACCATCATCATCATCGTCTTCGGCTACCACTTCTGCTCTTTCAGCAATGCTAAGTGCGAAGCTTCGCAAATGTTGCAAGTCGCCGTCGCCGTCACTGACCTGTCTCAGGCTGGATACAGAGAGTTCGCATATTGGGGTGTGGCAGAAAAGGGCGGGAGTTCATTCAGATTCTAACTGGGTGATGACAATGGAGCTTGGGAAGAACATGGGGATCAATCAGAAGGTCGAAGGAGAAACAGGTGATACTCCGACGACAATGGGTGTCCCGGAGACGGTGGCCTCAGCCACCGGAGGCGGAAGGTATTGTAGTACTAGAAGCAGTGAGGAAGAGGATAAGATTGCATTGCAAATGATTGAGGAACTTCTCAACACAAATTAGCTAGTGGACCTACCTACATATAGAATAAATATGACATATACTGTAACTAGTCTTCATTACATGAACTACTCCGTACCTTTCTTTTCACCCCATCTGTCGTTATTATGGATAAAATACAATCTATTTTGTCTTTTTTTTTATCGATATATGAATGTATTTTTAAGTTTTCTTATAATTTTTCAATCAATATTACCATTTTCTTTTTATTTTGTTAATTGCTTATTTGGCATCTACCAAACGATGATGTGTCGATCCAAATACCAAATTAGCATACAAATCGATGCAACAAAGCCCTAGATCAACCCTTTCATTGTTCAATCACCATCATCATCACATGGATCTTTCATAAAGTTCACCTTGCTAAAGGACATTGCCAAAACCGGTAAAAAGAGCAACCTAAGTTATTATTTCCTATAATTTACCCTAAGTCAAATGGTTGTTTGAAGTTTTTACTGTCACTCGAAAAAAGGTCATATTCATCCAACAAAAATATTTGAACAAGATATAAACAAATTTGCCAAGTATAGGATAACGATGATATTGAAAGATCTATATAGGAATTAGGTGGCGTTAGACACTTAAAAAGTGAATTAAAATTTACTTCAAATTTTTGTTTTGGAAGGATCTAACATGGCAAAAGATCCTTCGGTTTAAGAATTATGGCAATCCTTGAATTGGATGATAAATTGAACAAGAATTAATGTTCAATGAAGTATCCTATGATAATAAATTGATTAAGACATCTTGACATCAATTCTATGAAAACGAATTATCACTAAAACTAATAAGCTTGAACATAAATATCGAAAAGTACATATTATAAAGGATATAAATTTGTGATTTGGTATAATGGCTATGAAAAGTACTGAAAACTACACGGACATCATAGAAAAATGGATGACTAATGACTTGACCTACTATAAGCATTTCAAACACACTAGACGACATCTATATTATTTTAAAAATACGAAATAACATTTTGTTTTTATGAACACGAAACATCATAAAAGAACACCATGTGATGCATATGACTAAAAGAAAGTACTCCATGCCCAAGAGTAGTGGTAAAGATAAGGAAGGTGAATGTTAAGATTTTATCTAGTTTAAAAGGGAAATGCAATGAAAATTTCACGTTTTAAACTGTAGTTCCTAAAGTTTAAATGAGAACCCACAATGATGTAAACAAAATAATAAGTAACAAGGAAGTAGGTTGTTTTATGTGTGATCAAAAGAGTGTATTTTGTTTGTTTTCACTTTGGGCATGTGTGTACGAATAATGGGTCCAATTTGGTCTAACTTGATTTAACATATTCATTCATAATAAAAATTTGTACCCAAAAATGATGTTACATGAAAACATGTATAAAGTTACTATTAAGAAGACATTTTCATGTATAAAGTTACTAGCTATTAAGAAGACATGAACATTGAAGTATATATCAACAAATACCGAGTGAAACTCGGATTTAGGTATTCGACTAGGAAAAAGACACCACGCAAGGTATGATTTTAGTATTATCAATATGTTTAGTGTAGTCATGATTTCATTCGAGACAATCTGAGTTTTGTGTGGCATTTGTGAATCAGATTAGTTCTCTAATCTAATTTGAATTTTTGGATTATCCCATTGTCTGAATTTATATAACCCCAAGAATATAGTCGAATTATAGAATGCGAAAATTCAGGGCCGGTCCAGACAGTGGACAACCCGGGCGACCCCCCAGGGCCCACGTCTCCAGGGGGCCAAATTTTATGGGCTATATAGTGTATATATATTAAAAAAATTATTTTCTAAATGATTGTTAGGGTCTAAAGTTGGTTCAAACTCAAATTAGCTCAAAAGATAAACAATTTGGATTGTTTGTTATTGCTAATTGAACACGTCTATAATGAAGAATAAATGATATTTTTTTGAATCTTTATTATATTTGTCTTTGAGGGGCCTTTTTTTTTTCTTTTTGCCCCGTGTCCCATATACCTTTGCACTGGCCCTGCGAAAATTATTTTAATCACGATCCAAGAAATTATCCAAACGTTTATTGTTATTCGAGTCCCTTATTCTAACATTAGGTCGATTGTAAAACTTAGGTCCCGTTTGACAGTTGCTGATTGAGAAAGTGCTGACTGGGAAAGGACTGTTTGGGTAAGAAATTTTGACTGAGTAAGAAATGATATTGTTTGATTATACATCTGACCGAATGTGCTGACTGATAAAAAATTACCATTTTACCCTGCTGCTCTATATAATGATGCATGAAGTTATTGAAGAGCTACAAATATCATAAAAAATATAAATTACAAACAAATCATTTAAAAATCCAAATAAAAATTATAAAAGAAATCATTGTTTTTATAAAGTTATAAATAAATTCATTGTTTTTCAACAATTCAAAAAATCCATTCATTGACCATATTCACATTCATCAATCAATTTAAGCAAATCATGGATGAAATTGAAGAATCAAGAACATGGGATTTCAAACCAAATACTAGCAGCACAATTCATCCAAACCAATATCAAGAACAAGAACAGGGGACTCCAAACCAAAGTCACACTTTCAATCCTTAACAAAGACAATTATCTTTTTTGGAATTTTAACTTCATTTAGTTGCAAGTCAGAAGCATGACATTATAAAATGATTTGAGTTCAATCTATTTAAAATACTATATTTGTAGCAGGTGTGAACATTCATAGCAATTTAAAAGAAGGGAAATCTTCGAAAAAGTCATAATATTTCACCCTAATTTACGAAAAAGTCCCAAACTAAAATTGGTTTATGAAAATGTCCCGATTACCGGAAAAAATCACGATTTGACCCTTTTTTTCTGGTTTATCGGTTTCAATAATTATCCGGTTTCATTAAAGTCTCATTATTTTACCTTAATTTTCATTAAAGTCTCATTATTTTACCATAATTTGGGACTTATTTGTAAATTATGGTAAAATAATAAGACTTTATTAAAACCGGGTAAGTAATGAAACCGGTAAACCGGGAAAATAGGGCCAAATCGTCATTTTTACGGGTAATTGAGACTTTTTCGTAAACAAATTTTAGTTCGGGACTTTTTCGTTAATTAGGGTAAAATATTGGGACTTTTCCGGAGATTTCCCTTTAAAAGAATGAGTAGTTCAAAGTTGTTTCTCTCCTTTTTCCCTTATCTTTTCCTTCATCCGTTTTGCTTTTTCCTCTTTTTCCAACACCACTAAAAATGCTCTCATCAACAGACCCTTGCACTGCTTCTCTTTAAACAAAACCTATCATCAATCAATTTTAAGGATGCTGATCCCCAATATAACGTTGCAGGTGAAATGCTATTTAGTTATAATTAGCATCCATAACTGGAGCAACAATAGTGATTAAATAGAAACATAACAACAAAAAATATGTATGAACATATATGAATTCAACAGCAAAAATGATTTCAAGCTATAGAACAGATATGTGTATGAACATATGTGAATTCAACAGCAAAAATCAGAACTTTTCAAACAAGAACATAACAGCAAAAAATCAGAACTTTTTGAGAAGTTTAAACACGAACAGAACAACAAAAATCGGACCATTCACTTATGAACATGACAGAAATCGGAACCCATAAACACGTTCAACAGAAAAATACGAAATCGAAACCTATTCTCAGTCGACTATTATGTAAAAATAAGAGAAATTAGAAAAATCAGAAATCAAACAGGAACATAAATATGTCGATCTTCTATTAAATTTCGCATAATTTATTAGACCTAATTATGTAGAAATCATACCAGATGAGAAGAGGCAGTCGATGGATCGTTGGTATGGAGAAGATCGTTGATGCTTGTTGGTTGATGTGTGGCTATGGAGGCGATGCAAGAAGGAGAAGAATGAGGATGGAGGCGCTGAAAAGAACGGTAGGGCGAGGGTAAAGTTGGAAAGCTTATCTTCCTTTCTCAGTCAGCTATCTTCCTTCTTCTATCCGAATCAGATTTTTCTTACCGAGTCAGATGCCGAAATTTTGATTACCAAACATGTTTTGCTGACCGAGTCAGCCAAAAACGTCTGACCGGACTTGGTCAGCCGTATATCAAACACTCCCTTAATCTCATTGTTATGTCAATTTTCTTACCCATGCGTTTTAAGGAAAATAATTAAATAAATATTTAATAAATAGGTTTCAAGATGCAACACTTATGATAGTATATTTATATATTATAATCAATCAAATTTTCATAAAAATAATACTTCCTTGATCTAGACAAGTGCTAAACCCACGACAAATTAATTAAAATATTTTGTTTTGGTGTAAAAGTATTGGGTGTGGGCAACAAGATGCAACACCAAGTTGTGTCCACTCACATGTCACATAAATAAATGGTGTTATAACACCAAGTGGAGAAATAGTTTGTTTGTTATAACACCAACTTTTTGAAAATAAATATGTTTTATTTTTTTATTTTTTTTTCGAATTTGGTTTTTTTTCTTTTTTTGTTTTTTTCCTTTTTACGTTTATTTTTTTAATCACTAAAATGAATATATTTTTATAAAACATAAAAATTTTAAAAACAAAAAAAAGACATAATATTTTAAATCTAAAATTACGATTACAATTAAAAAAACATAATTTTAAACCTAAAATCAAAACTAAAATACCATTCAAATTACTCCTAAAATCCTAATTAACCCAAATATTTCTTCCTAATTTGTTCCTTCATTGCTTGTAGCACCGCTAGATCTTCAGGCGTCAAACCCTCCTCGTTCGTCCGAAGAATTGACAACTGATGTGTCATTAGTTCTCTCTCTCTTTTTGCTCCTGCTTCTCCCGTGCCTGCCTTTCTAGGAACTCCAATGACGACGTTTCAAGTCATTTTTTCTTTCATTAATAAATTGTGCTCGTCGAATTTTGCTCTCATTTCCGCCGCCTCTTTTGCTTTCGCCTCAACCTCCTCTGCATGCCTTGCAGCGCGCCTCGCTTTGTCGCGTTCGGGCGGTCATCGTGGTGGGGATATCTCCTCGATATCATCCGGAATCTCATCGGTGTCGGCGTTTAGGTCGATGTGAGTATGTGCGTCCGACACGTCGACCGAGCTTGAATTGCGAGACATTTTGGATTGAACCTCCGACGATGTAGGCATTTTATTCCACTTTGGATCAGCCC